ACTATGATTAAAAACTTTATTTCAGTTCTTCATTTCACTTAGTTTATATGTAGGCAGGGCCTTAATGATAAGATGGTATAAATAATAACTAAGGATATTTGGCTTTTAAAGTAAAGTATTGTGGTTTAAAGGATGTTCCATTAGTAGCATGATTTTTAGACTAATCTATATAGTCAAGGCAAATCACAAACTTGTATGTCATTTACTTTCTAAAGTGTTTCATTTGACAATGGTTAGTGTTATAATGGTTCTTTTTCTACTTGTGTTATAGCACAATTCTTTTTTTTAAATATTTATTTTTTTGTTTTAGGTGGACACAATATCTTTATTTATTTTTATGTGTTGCTGAGGATTGAACCCAGTGCCTTGTGCATGCCAGGCCAGCACACCACCACTTGAGCCACATCCCCAGCCCCAGCACAATTCTTATTGACATTGAATTTTTAAAATGAATTATGCTAAAATACTTAGATTTCTACATGTATTTCTTAAATATTTCAATTGCTAAATAAAATGTTTTTTCTTGCTCTCCACATTGACAACAGTAAGCTGACCTACAATGCATCTACTGTCAATGGTTTTAAACAGTTTTATATTCATTGTTTTGAAAGTTTTTAAATTGTTTTTAGTAGAGAACTTTATTTTAAGGTCTTTAATACAATTCTCTAATATTCTTGAACTTAATCATTTAACTGTTTTAGTATTTAAGGTAAAGATTCTTAAAGTTATCAAAAACTAGCTTATGATAATTACATGGTAATATTTAGGTTTCTATACTATGAAGAAGCAAATTTTTAAGTACTTCATTTGATTACCAGAATGAGAATTCACTTTGGCTTCTATTTTATGCATTTATAAGTTTTTTTCCTTAATTAAATAGAAGCTATTGAAACTTCTGTACTCAATGCTAAATACTAAGGAAAAGGGAGTATAATGGAGTGACTTTGCCATTAGCATACAGTCATTACAAGAAACCAATTAGAAGAAGATTTTATTTATAAACATAATTCTTTTACATAGTATGTATCATATGCTTCATTGTTACTTTTACAATAAGATATTCAACTAGTTTTTATGCTTCAAGTACTAGAACATGAAATATTGTGCTTCAAACAATGAAATACAAGCTTAAGAACACATTTAATAGCTGGGCACTGTGGCATGCCTGTAATCCCAGCAGCTATAATCCCAGCATTTCGGGAGGCTGAGGCAGGAGGATTTCGAGTTCAAAGCCAGCATTAGCAATGGCGAGGAGATAAGTAACTCAGTGAGACCCTGTCTCTAAATTAAAAAAAAAAAAATACAAAATAGTGCTGAGGATATGGCTCAGTGGCCAAGTGGCCCCTGAGTTCAATCCCTGGTATCAAAAAAAAAAAAAAAATGAAGAAGAAGAAGAAGAAGACATTTAATAATGAATTACTGGAATGTATATTACCTATAGTTTGGGAAAGTTTGGATTGCCTTGAAATGATCCAATTTTCAAGTTCTGATTTTGACTATTATCTTTTCCAATTCCCAGATATATTCTAACATTTACTTTATGCCAGGTATTATACTAAGTGATAGCTTATGTCAGCCTATTTCTCCTTTTTAAAGATAGCTAGATGGGTCTGGGGTAGTGCTCAGTGGTAGAGCACTTCCCTGGCATGTGTGAGGCACTGGATCCAATCCTAAACACTACATAAAATATAAATAAATAATCAAGTTTTTTAAAAGTAAACAGTTTAAACTCATCTTTAAAAAAAAAATAGCTAGATGTAGGGCTAGGTGTATAGCTCAGTGGTAAAGCACTTGCCTAACATGTGTGAGGCCTTGGGTTTAATCCCCAGTACTGAAAACAAATAAATAGAAAATAAAAACTGCTGGATGTAAAAAAAAAATGACATCTATAACTTGATTTTCTAATCAAAAGCCATTAAAAACAATTATGAATAGCCAGGCATAGTTGCACATGCCTGAAATTCCAACAAGTCAGCAATCAGGAGGCTGAGATAGGAGGATCAGAAGTTTGAGGCCAGCCTGGACAATTTAGTAAGACTCTGTCTCAAATAAAAAATACAAAAAACTGGGGATGCAGCTCAATGGTAGGAATGTCCCTAGATTCAATCCCATCTGGTTTGCTTCTCTCTCTCTCTCTCTCTCTCTCTCTCTCACACACACACACACACACACACACACACACACACACACACACAGAGTTATGTGGAGGTATAAAATAACATAGATGGCAATATCAACATTTTTTTCCTTCAGTACTGGGGATTGAATCCAGGGCCTTGTGTGTGCTACACAGGTACTCTACCATTGAGCTATACCCTCAGCCCTTTATTTTATTTTGAGACAGAGTCTTACTAAATTGATCCTCTTGCCTCCGCCTCTGGAGTGGCTGTGATTACAGGTGGGCGCCAGTGTGCCTGGTCAAAATCAACCTGTATATCTATGTGGTGCTTCAGATTGACTACAGGGCCTCATACAATCTAAGCATATACCACCGAGCTATTCCCCCAGCCCCAAATCAACTAGTAAAGGGCAATCTTTCTCATACATTTAATAAGGCCTAAAAATATTACTATCCAGTGGAATATATAACATACTCTAACTATGACATTTAGTTACCAAGCAAAGATTAAATTATGGCCCAAATATCCTGGTTATACCAGAGAAATAAGTACTAAATTTAAATAAGTACATTTCCACCAAAAAAGGTTTAATTAAAAAATTTCAGTATTAGTTATTTAGAAAATTCTCTGCCATCGATCAGATTATTTTCTGATGTCAGAAAATGAGGTACAATAATTGATAATATATAATAGTATAAGAACACATTATGAGTAGAAATAGCTTCATTTGAAGACCTGAAAATTGGTAATCCTGAGTTCTTCATAGAAATTCTCAGAAGCTCAGGATCTCCTAGGTGCCATATATGAATATAAAGGAAAGAAATATATACTTTTCTGAGTATATATTATTTACAAATAATCCCATAATAGTAACAAAGTTTAGATCCAGAATGTCCACCCAAGGGCCCGAGTACTAACAGCTTGGTTTTCACCCTGTGGTGCTACTGGGACATGGTGGAACATTAAAGAGGTAGGGTCTATGGGACTGGGGTTGTGGCTCAGTGGTAACTTGCATGCCTAGCATGCAAGGGGCACTGGGTTCGATTCTCGGCATCACATACAAATAAATAAAATAAAGGTCCATCAACAACTAAAAAATATTTTTTAAAAAAAAGAGGTAGGGTCTAGTAGAAGGAAGTTAGGTCATCAGGGATATTAGGACCCCGCCCCTTCCTATCTACTTCTCTGTTTCCTCCTTTTCTGCTGTGAGATGAACAGATTTCTTCCATTGTTTGCTTCCGGCATGATGTACTATGTTGCCCCAGGGCCAACTGATCATGGATTGAAATCTCTGAAACCATGAACCAAAATAAATCTTTTCCCTTAGTAAGTTGATTATCTCAGGTACTTTGTCATGGTGACAGAATGCTAACTAACACACAAAGAGAAAAACAAATTGGCCTATGACAACACCTGTGTTTCCAAATATCCTAATTCCTGAAACTATGTGGGGAAGCATTTTTCTTAGTTTCTCAATTGTTATGGTACTTGTCTTCAAGTTTTGCATCTCCTATTCTTGCTTCCTAAACATAGGTGAGGCACTGGACTCGATTCTCAGCACCACATACAAATAAATAAAATAAAGTTCCATCAACAACTAAAAAATATTTTTTTAAAAAAAGAGGTAGGGTCTAGTAGGAGGAAGTTAGGTCATCAGGGATATTAGGTATAGGTCTTGGCCTTCTTTTCTTTATAAATAGTACATGCATGACTCACACATTTACATATTTAAGCACAGCCTCTCTTTCCTGAGCTTTAACCCCATATTTCTGTCAACCCTCTAGAAATATTCTCTGGAATATTTCACTATCACCTCAAATTTTACAAATCTGATCTCTGAGCTCATTTCTGCTGCAAAACTAATTTAACTTACCCTATGGATATCCCTTTTCAGTTCCAATTTCCCAGGTTCAACGAATTGGAATCTTCCCTGGTTCATGCATGAAATACTTCATATGATCTGTTTTACCATGTGCAGGGAGAGAATAAAAAGGGAAGAGAAGAAAACAGTGTTTTAAATCCAAGTTAACAAATTTGGCTTTTAGTCTACAAGCAAAACGGAGCAATGAATAATTTTACAACACAGCCATGCTTGAAGGTAACTGAATCTATAGGTTGGCAGGGGGGTGATGTTAGACAAAGGGCATCAATGAGAAGTACTTCATTCCTGTCAACGAAGGAATAATAGTAAGAACTTTGATTAGGTGTAGGCAGTGGGTAGGGCGATCGGACAGATGCTGGATTTACTGCAGGATTAGAATCGACAGAACTTGGCCACTGATAGAAACAAAGGTAGGAAAGAAAGGGCATCCAATTTAGACATTAAAGTTTCCAAGTTGATTGTATTAAGAGGCGCGCATGGTCTGGGAAATCATTTGGGAGGGAAACGGTCGTTAGRTTTGGGAAATTCAGCATTTGTACACCTGAGGAACATTTGAGAAGAAATACGCAGGATTCTTGGAGGTAGCTGGGCACCTACACTGCAGGTGGAGCAAAGTTTGAATGTTTCCGCAAAAACATGTACCAAAGGGACTACAGAAATCTTACTACCAAGGCTGGCGCTGGCGGGARTGAGATGTGACATCGCTCGAATAGTCCTGTAGTGTCTGCTCCCCGCGCCTGCTCCTCCACAGATCCCGCCAGCATTTCGGAGGTCGCCTTTCCCGCCCCTCCTGGGCATCCTAGAACTTGCGTTTGGCCCAGCCACCTTGTAAATAGACAGGGGTATAAATAGACCGCGTCGTCTGCTGCTTAGTCACTAGTAGTCTACCTGCCTATCGCACCTTCTTTGGGAGAAACGGGGCGTGGCAAAAAAGTGGTGAACTCTAGATATCGCGAGATTTGCCTGCAACCTTTTCTTTTGCTTGCCGGAAGCGGAAGTTGAGTGGTTGCGGGATTCCAGCTAGAGAGTCTCCGTTACCTAAAAGAGCCGACGGGGTCCGGCGTTCTCCTGTGTGGTGGGACTGGAAGTCGCCACCGCCGCGAGGCTGGCCGGCGGGATCTGGACAGACACAGCCTTTGGCGGGTTAGTGGCCCTTTTGGGGAAACCAGGAGAAGGGAAGCGGGCGGAGCTGTGTGGCCGGCGAGCTGTTTTCCTTGTGGCTAAGCCGAAAGCCACTTCTCTCGCGGCTTCTCTAACGTACAGCTAAGATGCTTAGGGATGGAGCAGATCTGTCAGAGCCTTGGTAAACAACCTGTGGTGTGCTTGGAGGTCAGACTGAACAAACGCAGTTGTTCAGTCAGTTTATCTGCGTCTCTTCACTAAGCTTATCTCCCAGAGCAGCCAAAGCGCATCTAGTCTGTCAATACCCGGGTTTTTCGCTTGCATCGAAAATTCTGTGTGGTTTTATTTGTGGTGAGTGAATGAGTCTTGTTCGAATACAAATCTGAACGTCTGTAGCCTACCCCCGCCCCAACAAAAAAGGAATACCAGTTGTGAATGCTAGAATTGGCCTGTTCGTTCTAAAGGCCCAGTGAACTAGTGTTGTAGCCTCTTCTAAATTCTTCAGGGTAAACGCAAGTAGCACCCTTTGGACACAGCGTTGGAAGTCTTCAGAGCACTTTTAATCCCACCTTTTCATTGACTATGGCCCTTATATACCTAGTCCTTCCGTCCCCATCTTTTGAGAGTTTTCTTCAAGATTTTTTTTTTACCCCCCTCAAAGATTTAAACAAGCTAAACATTCAGCAGTACAGCTGCCTCACATCCGTGGAATGGGTTAATGCTTGGATCAATTAAAAATTCTGCTAAACTGAGTGCTGTGACGCATACCTGTAATCCCAGAGACTCAGGAGGCTGAGACAGGAGGATTGCAAGTTTAAGGTCAGCCTCCTATCTCAAAATTAGGGAAAAAGTGTAGAGGCAGGGGAGGCTGGGGTACTACATTTCTAGTGGTAGAGGACTGGGATTGAATCCCCAGTACAAAAAGGAGATGGTATTTGTTTACTTGTGTTTTGGGAGATCTGTGAGAGAACACAAAAATAGAGTAGCACATTTTCCTTGCCTTACCATTTTATTGCCCATATGGATTAGGTATAGGTCATCTTTATATAGTGATTTCTGTGGTTCCTATGAATTCGTTTTAAAATTCTTTTCTTGGATTTGGGTATTTGACCTTAGTTTGCCAATCCGAGATGCATTGAAAGTATAATATTTGATAAGGCATACTATCTATGAACAATAGCCTGAAAGGTAGAACATCTAGATTTTGTTTCTTGTAACCAAACAATAATTCTGGTTTAATTTTGTCAGGATGAGGGTAGCATTATAAATGTTATAAATATGGATTCCCCCTAACCACATGGCCAGGTATTGAACCCAGGTGCATTTATCCATTGAACTATATCCCCAGCCATTTTTATTTTTTATTTTGAGACAATATCTCACTAAATTGCTGAGGCTGGCCTCACACTTGTGATTGTCCTGTCTCAGCCTCCGGAGTTGCTGGGATTACAGGCCTGCACCACCATAACCAGCTATAAATGGGGGGCCTGGCGAAAACACAAACTAATGAAGAAGCTGTTTTCCAATAAAACATTTCCTTGTCAAAAACTTTGTCTAGAAGTTGAGTTAATACAAGAAGAAAGAGGGAAAAGGTCTGGTTTTAAAGTTTTAGTATGCTGTTAATGCCTCAAATCATAAAATTTGTTTTATAAGTCTTTTTTTTTTTTTTTTTTGAGATGGATTCTCCATATGTTACCTAGGCTGGTTTAAACTCCTGGGCTCAAATGATCCTCCAGCCTCAGCTTGCCAAGTACTAGGATTATAGCATGGTTCTACCTCATCTGGCAGATTTTAGGAGTATTGAAGCAAAGAGCAGAAACATGAAGTTTGAGTTAGAAAAGGTAGGGGATGGAAATGCTAACAAGTACTTGGTCAAAGAAGACTAAAGAAAGTGAACTTTTACCTTGTTTTATCAAGGATTAGACCTCTGTAGGCTAAGCCAAAATATTTTCCTATATTTGGAGACTGAGAATATGGGTGAAGAAATACCACCTGTTGAATTAATTCATAATTGGCCTAGAAAAGTTAGCTGATATAGATTTCAGTTTTTATAACCATTAGGCAATATCTTTATTTTTTTATTTTTTAATTTTTTTTAGTTGCAGATGGACAGAATACCTTTATTTTGAACCCATTGCCTCACACATGCTAGGAAAGCGCTCTACCATTGAGCTACAACCCTAGCCCCAGGCAGTATCTTTATTTATAGTACTTTTATTGTCATTTGTCACAGGATCTGGAATAAGAATACAGTGGATACCTTTAAAAAGTAGTTATCCTAAATTTTAATAGCTGTGCATCTAAATGCTTTTCTCCTTGCCCGTTTTCGCATCTCTCTTACATTTTATATATTTCCCCTTTTTTATTGGCTCTTTTTCTTTCTCTTATAAATAATTATAGGTATTTTATCCTGGGTAACATAAAAGAGATAAGCTGGGTGCAGTAGTTCATGCCTATAATCCCAGAAGTTTGGGAGACTGAGACAGGAGGTTCATGTGTTCAAAACCAGCCTCAGCAAAAGTGAGGCAGTAAGCAACTCACTTAGACCCTGTCTCTAAATAAAGTACAAAATAGGGCTGGGGTTGTGACTCAATGGTTGAGTGCCCCTGAGTTCAAGTTCAATTCTGAGTACAAAAAGAGAGAGGGGTGGGGAATCTCATTAACCCTTTAGCTATTAGCCTTTTTTTTTTTTTTTTTTTTTTTTTTTTTTAAAGACAGGCTCTCACAAAGTTGTCTAGGCTGGCTCCAAACTCCTGGACTTAAAGGATACACCTGTCTCGCCTTCCCCAATAATTGGGACTACAGTTGTGCATGTATCACCCACCACTTTGAGCTTGTCTTTTTTTCTTCTTTTTTTACCTAGTCTTAAGCTTTGTCTACATTCTGTAGATCTCTAGTTCCTTAATTGCGTAATTCTCTATCAATTGCAGTCCTGCATCAATCCCAGCTACTCTAAAATAATCAGCTACTTATGGCCAGATTTAATTAATTATTTTTGTTTTTTCTATCACTGTATTACCTGGCCACTTTTGACCATTCTTTATTCTTTTGCTTTGTGTGATAATCTCTTCTGGTTGGCCTCTCTGTGTGTGTTCTCTTATCCCTTCTTTAACTTTGTTCTTTAAATGTTCATGTTCTCCAGGGTTCTCCTTAACACAGTCTACATTTTCCTTAAAGAATCTCATCAATGATCAATGATCGTATATCTGGAAGATTAAAAAAAAAAAAACCTCCATTGAAAGACTATTAGGACTAATAAATTTGGCAAAGTAAGGTGAAGGATGTAGCTCTGTGGTGGAGTGCTTGCCTAGCATGTGTGAGGCGGTGGGTTCAGTCCTCAGCACCACATAAAAATGAATAAATAAAATAAAATTGTGTCTATCTACAACTAAAAGTTTTTAAAAATTTGGCAAAGTACTAGGTTATAAAATTGACACAAGAATCAATAGCATTCGTATTATAACAATGAATCTGCTGAGAAAACAATCAGGAAAACAATTCCATTCATAATAGCCTAAAAAAGAGAAAGAAAATACCTAGAAATAAATCTAACCAAGGAAGTGAAAGACCTCTACAATGAAAACTATAGAACAKTGAGGAAGATTTTGGAAAATGGAAAGACCTCCCATGATCTTCATGGATAGGCAAAATTAAAATTACTAGAATGACCATATCACCAAAAGCAATACACAGATTCAGTGCAATCCCCATCAAAATACTAATGACATTCTTCACAGAACTAGCAAAAACAGTCTTAAAATTCATTTGGAAGAATAAAAGACCGAGAATAGCCAAAGCAATTCTAAGCCAAAAAAGCAGTGCTAGAGGCATCACAGTGTCTGTCTTCAAATTAAGCTATCTAGCTAACAACCTTCATGGTCCTGGCATTAACACAGACCAGTGGTACAAAATAGAATACAGACAAATTCACACAAAGGGACCAAAAACATATTGAGGAAAAGACAGCCTTTTAAACAAATGGTACTGGGAAAACTGGTTATCCTTATGTAGAAGAATGAGACTAGTACCTTACCTCAAACTGCACAAAAAATCAACTCAAAATGGATGAAAGATATAGTCATTAGACCAGAAACTCTGCAATAACTAGTAGAAAATGTCACACTCCAGCAAATAGGCACAGACATTAACTTTTCAACAGGACCCCCAAAGTTCAGGAAATAATGCCAAGAGTTAATACATGGGGTGACATCAAATTAAAAAGGCTTTTTTTTAATTCTTTCTTTTTTTTTAGTCATACATGGCAGCAGAATGAATTTTGACATATAATACATACATGGAATGTACATACATCAATCATATTGTCAATTCTATTCTGCTGCCCTTCCTATCCTCCTTACTCCTCCCCTCCTCTCCCATCCTTACTCTCTATCCAATCTAATGTGACACACTTTTTTTTTCTTTTTCTCATTACAACATCATATGTGTAATCTGTATAACAATGAGGTTTTCCTTCCATCTTCTGTGCAATCTCTTCTCCCTCTTTTTTCCTCCCACCTCTCTTGCCTATTTAGTGGTAGTCGTCTTCTCATGCTCTTCTTCCCTGTCCCATTTGAGTCACCCCCCCTTATCTCAGAGAAGACATTCGGCATTTGTTTTTTAGGGATTGGCTAACTTCACTTAGCATAATCTGCTCTAATGCCATCCATTTGCCTGCAAATGCCATGATCTTGTTACTTTTTTAGTGCTGAGTAATATTCCATTGTGTATAAATGCCACATTTTTAATCCATTCATCTATTGAAGGGCATATAGGTTGGTTCCACATTCTAGCTATTGTGAATTGTGCTGCTATAAACATTGATGTGGCTGTGTCCCTGTAGTATGCTCTTTTTAGGTCTTTTGGGTATAGTCCAAGAAGGGGAATAGCTGGGTCAAATGGTGGTTCCATTCCCAGCTTTCCAAGGAATCTCCATACTAATTTCCAAATTGGCTGCACCAATTTGCAGTCCCACCAGCAATGTATGAATGTACCTTTTTCCCCGCATCCTCGCCAGCACTTATTGTTGTTTGACTTCATAATGGCTGCCTTTCTTATTGGAGTGAGATGGTATCTTAGAGTAGTTTTAATTTGCATTTCTCTGATTGCTAGAGATGGTGAGCATTTTTTCATGTATTTATTGATTGATTGTGTATCCTTTTCTGAGAAGTTTCTGTTCAAGTCCTTGGCCCATTTGTTGATTGGGTTATTTGTTTTTTTGTTGTTTAAYTTTTTGAGTTCTTTGTATACTCTAGAGATTAGAGCTCCATCTGATGTTTGAGGGGTAAAAATTTGTTCCCAAAATTAAAAAGCTTTTACACAGCAAAGAAAACAATTAGGAATGTAAAGAGAGGACCTACAGAATGGGAGAAAATCTTTGCTAGCTCTTTCTGACAGGATTACTATCTAGAATGTATAAAGGACTCAAAAAACTTAACACCAAAAAAATAATAATAATCCTATCAATAAATGGGCAAAGGAGTTAAACACACTTCTCAAAAAAAGAAATACAAATGGCTAACAAATACATGAAAAAATGTTCAACATCATTAGCAATTAGGGAAATGCAAATTAAAACTACACTGAGATTTCATCTCACACCAGTCAGGATGGCAATCATCAAGAATGCAAATAATAATAAATAAGGTAGAGGATGTGGAGAAAAAGGAATACTTTTACACTGTTGGTAGGACTGTAAATTAGTTCAAGTATTATGGAAATCAGTATGGAAGTTCCTCAAAAGACTAGGCACAGAACCACCAAATAACCACTCCTTGGTATTTATCCTAAAGTAATCATACTATAGTGAGTCATGCATACCCATTTTTTTTTTTCAATTTTTTTTAGAGAGAGAGTGAGAGAATTTTAATATTTATCCTTTAGTTATTGGCGGACACAACATCTTTGTTGGTATGTGGTGCTGAGGATCGAACCCGGGCCGCACGCATGCCAGGCAAGCGCGCTACCACCTGAGCCACATCCCCAGCCCCGAATGCATACCCATTTTTATAGCAGCACAGTTCACAATAGCCAATCTATGGAAACAGCCTATGTGTTCCTAAGTGCATGAATGGATGGAGAAACTGTGGTATATATACACAATGGAGTCATTCAGCCCTTTAAAATGAAATTACTTCATTCGTAGGAAAATGGATAGAACTGAGACCATTTTGTTAAGTGAAATAAGTCAAACTCAGAAGGTCCAAGGTTGAATGTTTTCTCTCATGTGGAAGCTAGAGAGAAAAAAAGAAAACAAGTGGAGATGCAGGGATCTCATGAAAACCAAAAGGAGATCAGTAGAAAGTTGGAAAGCAGGCGGGGCATGCTGGGGAATAATGTTGGCCAATTTCTATTGTTACGTTGTATGCATGTACAAATAGGTAACAACAAATCCCACTATAATTCATCAATAAAAATGTGGGAGAAAAATAATCTCACCTATTCTTATAACATTAACATATCTCCCGTATTCATCTCTTACTCTCCGTTACCTGTGAATTGACTCTCATTTTGGACATATGTACCACAGCTGACTTCAAACTCAGTGTATATCCTTATCCATCCCTCTTCCTGTAGTACCTTTGGCACCAGAATCTGTTAAGTCATTTGGTGAGAAGCCTCAATTATGTTTTATTTCCCCTCTCTTCTCCCACATCTCATCAATGTTCATTCCTCCTAAAATTCTTTTGAAACTGTTCTCAAAGTCCCTGCCTCAGAGTAACCCTCAAAGTCCCTGCCTCAGAGTAACCCTTCAGCATATTACCTACATTACTTTAGTAATCTGCCTGTTGTCTAATTTCACAAATCTATTCTCTACAATTTTAGAAAAGTGATCCTTCTAAATAGTAAATTGGATCTTGAGACTTCCCATCTTAAGCCTACCTTTGCTGATCAGAAAAAATGCAAACCTGCATTGAATACAAAGTTTTTTATCATTTGTCCCCTGCTTATCTCTCCAGCTTATTTCTTTGCACAGTATCTTTATTTTATTTATTTATTTCTATGTGATGCTGAAGATTGAACCCAGTGCCTCACGTGTGCAAGGCAAGCATTTTACCACTGAGCTACAACCTCAGCCCTTCCAGCCTCATTTCTTAACATCTGTTCATCTCTTTATATTTATACCACTACTGTTTCTTCTACTAGACTGGGAGGTTTTGGGGGGTAGAAGCGATGATGCATTCTTTATCTTTGCATGGTGGGCTCCTAGTCAAGTACAGTGCCTGGATTGTAGTAGTCAAGAAATGTTGAACTGAATGTCTCAAATCTGTGTTAAGTTTAAAAGAATACAGGTACTTCTATGAATAGCCTGCCAAAAATTTTTCATTCTTGACTTTTTTCATTATCAGATAAGATAGTGTTGATTTTTTTTAATTCTTACGTAAACATCTTAAATCTTTATAGAATTTCAGGATGACTGACACTTCTGAAGCTGTTCCAAATTTTGAAGAGATGTTTGCGAATAGATTCACAGAAGATGATAAAGAGTACCAGGAATACTTGAAACGTCCTCCTGAAATGCCTCCAATTATTGAGGAATGGAATAGCAGATCTGGTGGAAACCAAAGAAATAGAGGCAATAGGTATGTATTTCTTGAGAACAAATGCAGATGTTGATTTGGGAGAGGTTAGCTTTAGTCTGTTTGATAAAGCCAATGAAGGCAGCAATCAGTGTTTTCACCATGGTTATATGTACTGCCTTGTAAGTTTTTCTTGTAGACTGATATTTTCTTTGTAAATGTACTTTTAAAACTATCTTTGTGGTTAGCTGGGTGCCGTGGCCTGTAATCCCAGTGGCTCAGGAAGCTTAGGCAGGAGGAATCCAAGCCAGCCTTAGCAACAGTGAGGCACTAAGTAACTCAGTGAGACCCTGTCTCTAAATAAAAATACAAAATCAGGCTGGGGATGTGGCTCAGTGGTTGAGTGACCCTGGGTTCAATCCCCAGTACCAAAAAACAAACAATTTATCTTTGTACTTGATCCCATTAAAAAAGTATTGTTTGATTTTATTCTAGAAAGAAGTTGGAAATTACCTCTATTTAATAGTTCAAAAATAATCAAAGGCATAAATTACTATGCTGATTTTATACAATGAACAGATTTCAGTTTGATCCAGAACTGCCATATTTGGTTTGGGTTTATATTTATTTGCCTATTTCTCTGTGAAGTATGTCCAATATGATGCTGGAAGAATGACTTAAATCTTAGGCAAGTATTGACTAATTTGTGCTATATGTTCTGTAGAGAAAAATGTTTTATACTTTATTTGCTACTGAGAATTTATATGCACTGGGATAGATTTCTTCTTCTTTTTTTTTTTTTTTTTTGTTTGTTTGTTTGATTGTTTTAATAAGGGAAGTTTTAACCTTTTTGTTTTGTTGTAGGCTGCAAGATAACAGACAGTTTAGAGGTAGGGAGAGCAGACGGGGATGGCCAAGTGACAATCGATCAAATCAGTGGCATGGACGATCCTGGGGTAACAATTATCCCCCACAACACAGACAAGAACCTTACTATCCACCCCAATATGGACAATATGGTTACAACCCACGGCCTCCGTATGGTTACTATTGATAGAAATGTCAGTGAATTTTAGAAAAACCATTTACTTTGTTAACATGACAAAAGTTTGTGTGTCTTTTCTTGGTCATAGTTTCGATTCATTTAGAAAATGGATTATTATTTTTTTGGAATTTAAGATTAAAAAAATAGATCTTACTGGATAGATGTTATTGTTGCTGGGAATAAATACTCCCCTAAAAACATTGTGGGTTATATTCCTTGCCTTCTACCTCAGATTCTTTTTTGTTTCATTACTTAATAGTGCTCTGAGTTGATGTATTTTCCTTGTTTGACCTCCAGAAATTCTGTCTTTAACACATAAATAAAAACTTCAAAATAGAAATGCTTGCTTTTACTTTGTAAGATAAAGGAATTTCCACATGCTCAGATATACTTATTTCTGAGATTCTACAGAGGGTAGTTTATCAGTTCATTAATGCACAGCTTTACTTATAATGTACTGTACATAACATCAGTTGAAAGGTAAAACAACTGTATATTTTATTGTTTGTTATGTGCCTAGGGTACTTTGTGATTGCTTACTCTACAAGTTTGAGTTAGCTAGGGAGACTGATCTCCTAGCTCTGGAGTTGGGCATAACCCATTGGAAATTGGACAGCCCACCTCCTACCTTATTTGGCGAAGAACATTCTATGGAAAACCTTTGAAGTTTCCCCCCATTTTTTTAGTTGTTGATAGACCTTTATTTATTTGCTTATTTATATGTGGTGCTGGGAATCAGACACAGTGCCTCACATGTATGAGGCAAATGCTCTACCTCTGAGCAACTCCAGCCCCTTGATATTTTTTTAAGAGGGAAATCAAGAATAAGCTGTAAAATGAGGAAAAACTCCTCCTCAGTTCAGTGTCTTGATCTTTTTGGTGGATGGGATTAGGGCACACATCATTTTATACAAACTTTTAAAGCTTTTTGCTAACTTAAAACCTAGCAGGGAAAAAATTTGCATGTTATACAAAAGTTTATAATCCTTTGAAGATAATGCTTTGTTTTAACTGTTTTGGTATTTGACTTGGGTTGATTTTACAGTATTTTATTCATTTCTAGATGCGTACTTTTGCTGCTTCCTCTTCTATAAATATAGTGATATTGTCATTTCCTTTCAGAGAATTCATTCTACTTCATATAATTTTAATAATAAGTTTTATTGAAAACAAAAATTTTAAAAAGATTTAAGCAACTTCACTCCCAAATTTTGGCAGTTAGTCTATTTATTGATTTGGTAAGTTGATCTATTTGGATTTTATTACTCAGTCCTTCATATCTGATTAAAGAGCTTCAGAGGAATATTAAGAGTATAAGTTTCAGGGCTGGGGTTGTGGCTTAGTGGTAGAGCGCTTGCCTGGCATGTGCAGGACCCTGGGTTTGATCCTCAGCACCACATAAAAATAAATAAGTGAAATAAAGGTATAATTAAAAAATAAATATTTTTTTAAGTATAAGTTTCATCATAGATCAAAGGAATTAAAAGTGAACTTCCTAAATCTACTTTTTCTTTTAGCACCCCACTCTAGGGTTCTTGAGATTGACTTCCCCAGGTACTTCTCCATGCTCTAGATCCATTTCTCCACCTCTGACCCTTTTCCTGAAGAGTCATCTTTTCTTCAGGTAACTGTTTTATTGGAAAGGATGCACCTAATTAAATATTCACATAGAAATGTAAATAAATTTTTTTTGAAGAGAGAATTTTTTAATATTTTAATTTTTTAGTTTTCGGTGGACACAACATCTTTATTTTTATGTGGTGCTGAGGATCGAACCCGGTGCCCCACGCATGCCAGGCGAGCGCACTACCACTTGAGCCACATCCCCAGCCCAGAAATGTAAATAAATTTTTAACCTGAGGTTTTTACTATACCCTTCTGTAATCATATTAATAGACAACAGGCCAGTGGTGTTACATAAACATGGATCTTGATACTACAAATGTTTAGCCTAGAGAGTAAAAAATGGCCTGACTTCATCTCAGTATCTTCTGAAAGTAAGAAGGTTATTAAAAATATCTATCAACTAATGAAACACAGGCACTGACCAGTTGAGACAGTAGCTGATTATGGCATTAGAACAGGATCCTGTGTTGTGCCAACTGTGGGAAGCCACCCTTGAGCTATTTGAGCATCTTCAATCGGCCTTGAGCCAAGGAGATTTAGATTTGACATTGCAGTCTGTTTTGTGGCTTCTTCTACTCAATGGATTGTGCAATGCACTGGCCTCTGTCTTCACATGACTAGGGAGACTGATCTCCTAGCTCTGGAGTTGGGCATAACCCATTGGAAATTGGACAGCCCACCTCCTACCTTATTTGGCGAAGAACATTCTATGGAAAACCTTTGAAGTTTCCCCCATATGATAAAGCAAACATGGGCTCTAGCCCTCTCTATTTCCAGTGTGGAAGCTCGACCCCTAAGGTTGAAGAGCTGTCCTTCCCTGCCCTTGCTTTCTAAAATTACCTTTTGTGTTTTGTGGGTTTTTTTTTTTGTTTTTTTTTTTTGCCGATTTCTTTTCTTAGCCTTATTTTGTAGCCAGCTTGCATCATGCAGAGGAACCTCAAATTCCACCACCAGCACTGGATGTGGCTGAAAGCCAACTATTGACACCATTTAGGAGAGCTGTGGATTCAAGGGATAGCGCCGAGAGATGCTTCTTAAGATGCTCTGAAGAGGTTATTTTCCCATAGTATTTAAATATTTTAACATTTGGTACAGGTAGGCTGCATGTGGTCTCATGATAAAATGGAAAAAGTCCTTTTAACCTGAGTTATTTCTGCATTCTGCGTAAATAATCTATGGTAGTGGTAGTTTTTGTTTTTAGCAGTCATTATCCACCTGCCCCCTGGTGTGCTTAAAATAAGATAGAAATAAAAGGCATGGTTATTGCTTCAGAAAACAACATGAAAAAATAACATAATTTAAGAGTAAGAACAAAAAGTTAAAATCATGTTAAATAGAATTCTTGAGAAAGTTTGTTGTATCACATACTGCATTCAATTTAAGGAGTCCTGGCTTTAAATCCTGTGCTTGCAAAGGTACCTGACCTTGAGACACTCAACTCTTGTGATTATTTGCTCACTTGGGAAAATGTGGACAATATATACTTGCCCCCTTGCAGAGTTATAAAAATAAATAACCAACTGTAGAATAGGAATAACTTGAGAATAGGGACTAGAATTGTGACCTTTAAACCCCAAGGGCACATAATAGGCCTAATGTAAACATTTGTTGAATCAACCAGTGAAGACTGTGATGTGCAGTGTTGATATGAAGGATGTAAAGTAACTGATAGAAGATGAGGTAGAGAAGGAGACATTGAGAATTAAGAAGTTATGGTGGTTTCCCTATGTGAACTCATATGTGAGTAGACAACAAAAGGAGAACTTGAGGAAATAACATGCACTTAGAATGTGGAAGAAAGTTGAGCTAAAATTAGTAGCATTTGCTGTTTGGAAATTGGCACTGACTTAAAAATGTCAAATGTTGATTATTGAACCTATCAGATTAATGTTATTTTGAAAACAGCTTGCTGGGGACTTGTCTATTTTTGTATTTTGTTTTTCAGTGGTAGAAGGATTTGGGATATAGGAAGAATAACAACCTTGAGTCACTGCTTTGAGAATAGTTTTTGGTTTCTTGAAACTATGTAGGAAAAAAATATCTGGGAAGATTTCTAGCGTGGTTTTGGTTTCCAAAGTTGCATTCCTTATAATGCTCACAGACCAGGATATAATTTTTCCTTTTGTATTTTATCTGCCTAAGGAAAAATATAGGACTTTATAATAGAATAAATAGTGACGAAATGTCAGTCAGTCCCGTCTCCCCTTTCCCCAAGAAGAAGAGTCTCCAGCTGGGGTTGTGGCTCAGTGGTAGAGCACGTGCCTAGCATGTGTGAGGCATTGGGTTCGCTCCTCAGCACCACATAAAAATAAAGGTATTGTTTCCATCTGTAATTAAAAACAATAGTTTTTAAAAAGCAAGGTGTCATGTCAATTTAACTTTAGAATGCTAAAATGGAAGGAAGTGATCTTTCACTATGAAAGTTACTGTCAGGACTAATTTTGAACTCTAAGAAAAGCAATGCATGTTGTTCCTAAATACAGTTTTTTAATACCTTAAACATTTCCTACTTTCTATTTCACTTGATTGATTAAACCTCTGTTATTACAGTGACACAATACCGGAAATAATCAAGAAGGAAATGTTTATTTTGGCTGTTTCCTTGGCCCTGTTGTTTTTGAGCCTATGGCAGGGCAGTACATGATGGCAGAGGAGGCCTGGTCATGTTATGGTGGTTTGGAAGTGAAAGAGAGAGGAAAGGGCTTGAGTTCAAATATTTTCTTCAAGGGCATGCTGCTAATGATATAACTTTCTCACTTGACCCCATCTCTTAAAGGTTCTATTCTCTCAGTGACATCATAGGCTGGGAGCCAATCCTTTCACATATGTGCCTTTGGGAGGCATTCAAGATCCAAACTCTATCTGGGCATAGTAGTACAGACCTGTAAGCCCAAAAACTTAGGAGGCTGAGGCAGGAGGACCCCAGGTTTGAGACAAGCCTGAGCAACTTAGCAAGGCCCTGTCTCAAAAAAACAAAACAAAAAGACAATAGGCGGGGGGGGGGGGGGGGGGGGGGGGGGGGCGGGCTGGGTGTATATCTCAGTAATAGGACACCTCTAAGTTCAACTCTCAGTAGCCCAACATAACACACAAAGATCTAAACTATAGCAGAACCCAAACACAAGATTTGGCTACATATGAAAAATATGCTGTAATCTATAGTGATGCCCTAGCACAGTTAGTAGTGGAAAAAAAAATTATTAGAAAATAATACTCCCAGGTCGAGGTGGTTTATAATACCATTGTATTGTTAGCTGGAAATCATTACTAATGAAAGCACTTCGGTAATGACAAAGAGGTATTGTATATGAATTATTCACTGAAAAGCCTGTTTGATTTTTTTTTTGTCCTGTATTTTGATCAAGGAATGAATGAATTAATGAATGGATAGTTGT